ATTCAAATCGGTCTGGGTATTTGAATTATTTTAATTATTTTGGTTCTCGCGCTATCCAAAATAATTAAAATAACTGAAATATTGCAATATCTGGAGGAAACAAGGCGCTAAATATACCCTAGAGGTTCCTCTCTCATATATATATATATAAGAATCTGAGCAATCAGACCCTTTTCTAAAGCTCCAACATATCGGACCCCCTAGTAAATGCTGAATGAGAACAGGGTTTATGCAAACAGCTTCCTGCGTCGTGAACTAACTGGACTTAACCTTCATGCAAACATCCCAAAGCTTCACTTGTAGGACAGCCAGCAAGTGATACCGAAAATCTACAATGCTTCTGCTCCGCACGACTGAGCCTGTGTGCGCCGTGGCGACCCCAAATGAGAAATCCTAAGCTGCCAATTAACCCTCCCTACTCTAATACCAAAATGTGCCCCATGGCCGCAAAGTGTAGTGCGAAAATAGAAGGTGCTACTGGAGAGCGGATTGGACAGGATTTCCATTTAATGGTATATTGTCAATTTAGTACCCACGGGATCGGTGCATGTAGTAGCGGCAGGAATTGCGGTCAGTCTAGGAACCGGCCAGTCCTGTGCGAATTTGCCAAGCTCGTTCCGATTTACGAAACCTGCACTGGCTGTAGGTATATGACAGGAATCTCAACTCTCGGTTGAGTCTACTCTTTATGGCACTCTGAGCGCACTGAAGATGTGGAGGACTGGGCAGACAGCCTACAGCAAGATGTATAGACGATGTCTTGTACCACTACAGGTTTCCTTCTCCTGTCCCGAATGTCATACTGATTCAACCATATCTGGGAAGAACTGGCTGAGGCACATGCGAAGAGGCAGAAACAAAATGTGCAACTCAATGCAAAGCCATCGTATGTGCACACCTTGGTGCACATATGTAGACACGTACATACGATCTTCCTAGATATGTATGGTACATATAGTCATATAGGTGCCTCTACTCATGCTGTACTCATGCGCGCATGATTGAATATACGCACGCCTGCACCTGGATGTATGTATGACAACAAAAACCTCAAAACTCTGCCCGCTTCCTACCCGATATTAGGAACAGCAAGCCGCAGGACAGGAAGCCGCCATATCCCAGATACTCGGCGAGAAGGACCGCACTCCTTGGAGCTGAACCAAAATCTGTAGTATATCTGTATAATATACAGCATACAACTAAAACAAAGATGATCATATCTATAGTAAAACTGAAAGTTATGATATTCGTGCAAACGCAACATTCAAAATCCTGCAACAATATTCATAACAACAGTGATAGTACTTGACTTAGTCGGCGCTTCTCGCATGTAGTGCGACTCACCAATGGACTACGAGACTTGAACAGGACCGCACCTAGCAAGGCCAGGGTAGGGGTGACTGGAAATTCGGCCGCGGGTGCTCGGTTTGCTGTTAATAGGGTTTAGTGTTTAGGGTTTAGGCCAAACAGGCCTCGGACCGTGAGAGTAGGATAGCTTGCTGATGTCAAGGACTGAATCTGTCGAGGCCCCAACTTTCACATGCCCGGTGGAGCGTAAGTTCGCTGCGTAGTATGAAATATTGGACTGGGGCTTGCGGGTCCATTAAGTGTATGATGATGAAGGAGCCCTGGTGACGAATGTTATGTAAGCCTGGTGGCATCCGCGATAGTTCTGCTGCATCATCACGCGGAAGCGAGCTTCCTATCCACTGGACTCCCTCCCGCATCACTCTGAGGGCTTTAGGAGGGACCCTAAATAGGGACCCTTGTAGGTGATTGGGGTTAATATGGAGACTACCTGGCTATATAAGGGGTATATAAGGACTATACAATGGATGTTTAGGGTAATGGGATTAAGGGTCCCTTTTAGGGGTCCCCCCTAAAGTCCCTAGAATCACCGGAACAAAACCGGAACAAAAACTACGAGATCAACCCCGCCAGCACCTCCGCAGCAAATCGTAAAATTCTTGACGAAGAATCACCTGGCTCTTTAGTTATTTAGACAGCATCATCCGTACCTGCTGTCGTCTGAACCAAAACCACTGAGACGCGTCAGTTCCAGGGGCCCAAAGCTTTGCCGCCGAGTGTCTCCCAGAGAACCAGACCTGTGGAAGAAAGGGGCAAGTCCCCCGCTACAGCCGCGAAGAAGTCCGTCCTGACGTGGAGAGCTTCTATGGATTCAAGGCATCTCGCTACCTGGACAATGAGACGGGCGGAGTGTGCGGCATGAGCACGCCCTGATCTTTCAGGGTGGTGTGGTAAACATATTCAAGACAGCAACATCGTTACCATTCTCATCGTCACCGCTATGTATCTGAAGCAGGAGCCTTCGACGGCAAACGCTGCTATGATTCTTGCGCAAGTGACGAACTTCCCGTGGCAACAACCCATGGTTGCGCAAGTTACTCTTGGAGGGAATAAAACAGCTTTTTTGGGAGTCCGCTGGCTTTACGACTGTGTTCTGGGCCCCTGCGTGAAATTACTGCAGAAAGCGTTTTTCAGCTCTACTACAGCGGCCTGAACAAGTGAAAAAACAAGCTGTGGGATCCAGTACAATATAATCATAACAAGGCGCACTAAGGAATAATGTTTGAAGCTACTCCGGCTTCTATGATCATGTTGCTCACGCCTGCGTCGGAGGATCCGGAAGCTGGAGCCACAGACCTGAGCGAGTCACTTGTCAGGACATGAAAGCACGAAAACTCGTGTCGTGGCTAGGGTTCAGGGCCCGGGGTTTGGAGATGAACGTCTTACACTGCTCCTTTGCGCCCCATTAATTAATCGTACCACATACTCTAAAACTTTCCAGTTATCAACCAGGGGATCCTGTATTAATAGAAGCAGGCTGTGCTCGGATCCCATAGGGGGGATTCTTTAGTTCTTTAGCAAATAAGAGTAGGGCCTTGGGTTCTACTTATGGTATATAATCAGGAACATTGGGTAATAGTATTGGGCTTATATCCGTTTTCCCCAAAACCCTACATCCTAAATCCACTACCACATCGATTTGGACTTTGTGAGCTAGGCCATATGGGTTTCGGGCTTCAATGATTTTAGGGAGCAAAGAAGGCTAATAAGCTTCTTGCCGTTTTTGCTTGAGGGGCGTTTAGACTTACGGATTGGGGGCTTGGCCACTGCCAGCTAGGGATTCAAAGCTTTTCTAGCCGAGAGGCCGAGACGTTTTCAACCTCGAGGCCCGAACAAACCTGATTCTCAAGGAGGGTTTGGGGTTTTAGGCCTTAGGGTCTAGGGTTTAGGGTTTAGGGTTTAGGGTTTTAGGCCTTAGGGTCTAGGGGCCAAGGGCTTGCGAGTAGACTGGGTCCAGGCTTACCAGAGCACTAACAATTTTCAAGGCTACAAAGAGGAATCATCGGACGAATGGAAAAGGAGCAACAGCCTAGCTGTGAAGAGTAGTGCCTGGAGTTCTGCTGTTAAGGCGGCTTACCGGAGAAGCCCAAAACCCCCAGCCAAATCTATGCTGGTGGGGCTGTTGGTGGGTTCTAGGGGATGCTGATCTTGAGAGTTTGGCGGCTTTCGTAAGGAACTTACATGCTCTCCATGCGAAGAAGCGGGTACGGTAGTCGAAACTCCCTGAACTGTCATTCTCGGAAGTGCTGCGCGTGGTGTGGAGTTTCGGCATTAAGCCCTAAACCCGAAACCCTCAACCAAAGAGTTTGCTTCGTGAGTTGAGTTATATTGGGGCTTGGGATTTCGTCGGGAGGGAGGCCGGGATTCTAGAACTGAAGTTTCGGGGGGCTGTGATCTCCGAGTCCGAGAGCCAAATCTGGGTTTAGGGCTTGGGGGGTTTAGGGCTTAGGGGCTTGTGTTCTCAATAACACGACAAAACGCCGGCGCAGTCCGAACTTTTCGCATGCCATGCCCCTTAAACACGGTGCGGCCATGAAAGTGAGGCTGCAAAAGGGCGTATCTCAATATATGGCATCTCCCGAGGCAACCCGCAGCAGGCAGCCTAAATGGTAACTTCTTTGACTGAGGAGTAGAATCTAGACCCCAAAGGGTCCAAGGTATAGTATAGTATACACTTTTGGGGCCCGCAGACCTACAAAGTAGCTACCATATTAATACTTGGACCCTTTGGGGAAATGATCCAGCATTTGGAACAACTTACGGTTCAGACTATGGCCACGTAGCTTCTGTTCGCTGGGATTACTAGCGAATTACAACAGCAGCAGGAGCACTCGCCTGCACGTTGAGGGCTTAGGCTCTGGTGCTTTCTTGGGGGACTGGTGCCTCAAGGGACTGGAGCTGTTCCGGGCAGGGCGTCTTAGGGTTAAAAACCACTGAAACCAGGGATACAAAACACGCAGTTTTCCTACCGAACAGACAACAGAAGCGTGCCGAAGGTGAAGCCTTAAGCCACAAAGCCGAAACTGAACTGTGTCCCTACCCCTAGACCCCAAACCCTAAAGCCACCTGTTCGCTCGTCAGGTACCCTCGGGCAGTGTCCATGGCAGGTTGTGCGACCATGGCGCGGAGCTCCGAGGAGGATTTTGGAATGAGGTTCCAGCTTATTTTGTATTTATCTAATATTGTTTAATATTACTGAATATTTTTTAATGTTATTTAATGACATGAGTAATAACAGTAATAGCAGTGGTAATGGTAGTAGTAAGAATAATAATGAGAATAATAGTTCCGACAAGCAAATTACATCCCGCGAAAACCCAAGGACAATCTCCGAACGCTGAATTCTTGGAAATGCCGAGAGCCCTGTGACTTCGATCATGAAAGTGCTAATATTCGAAATTCCCATCGAGGCATTGGGAAAATGGTGGTTTCACGGCCCGTGGTCTTTGGTAATGGGCCCTTGGCTAGAGTGCCTCCTGAAATGAAGCATGGTATTTGCTGATTGCCTGTGCCGAACATCGTAACGCTCGGCTTATGCACTCATCAATAGTCCTGCGGAGTCCTGTAACGCTGTAGGCAGCAGAATCAATAGAAGGATAGAAGGCCTACTTTAAACGAATGAGCTGAGGCCAAGCGTTTTGCCGCTTCCATGAGCTTCGCAGAGCATTTGGGGCTCCTGGCCCATGAGCCACAGAAGCTGAGCCGTGCCGCGCTTATGCTGCCTCGCAGAGCAGTAAATCCGCACTCCGGCTGCACCCCAAACTCCTGAAAACTGGAATGCGAGGGACTCCGAGCCCGACAACAACAAACCCACCCTCAGACTGTAGGGGCCTTAATAATTAGAATGGGGATTTGGGGCCCATTATACCATAAATATATTAAGGAAACCCCCCAAATTAGTATTGGTAACTGTTTAGGCCCCTACATTAGTATAAGATAGCTTGGTCTAGGGCTTAGGCCTTAGGGTTTAGGGTGTAGGGCTTAAGGTTTAGGGCTTGGGACTTAGGGTTTAGCGCCTTCCTAATCAGAACCAGATTTCTTTACGGGCCGCTTCAACGGATCTATAAGGGTGCTATAGTTGGGGCTTTAGACTTTAGGCTTTGGGGTTTCAGGTGGCTTTAGACTTTAGGCGTTGGGGTTTCAGGTTTGCGATTATGGCTTCGGCTTAGCATTGGGTTAGGTTTAGGGTGAAGGGGTAGGCTTAGCATTGATCACGGAAAAAGCTGTCGACACAACATGCCACGGCGTCGCATCGCGGAGCGGCCCGTGTGGTGGGCCCCAGAAGCAGCACCAGCACGACCAGACGAGGGGACTTGGTGGAGCAAGCAGCTCCAGCCGAAGATTCCAGCACAGCCCAATGTCCCAGAGACCCTAAACCCTAAACCCTTAAACCCTTACCTAAACCCTTAAACCCTAAACCTTAAACCCTTAAACCCTTAAACCCTCAAACCCTAAACCCGAAGCCCAAAGTCCCAGAGGGCGGCACAAACGGTTCATTGAAACGCCTCGCGAGGGACCATCGCCATGCTGGCCCAAGAGCACTGACAAGGTGCCTCATGAGTTTGCTAGGGTTTTAGTGTTTCAAGGTTGGGTTTAGGCTTTAGGGTTTTAGGGGATAGGGTGTACGGTTTTACGGTTTTAGGGCTTTAGGGTTTCGGGTTTCGGGTTTAGGAATGTGAGCCCATGTGGTCGTGACTTAGCCGCTCATACCTTTGGTCACTTCTCAACGCATCAGGCTTCGGGGAGGGTACGTCAAGAAAGAAGCTGTGCATCAGACAGGTTGCGAAAAGCGTAAATCATGGCATGCCCCCGCGGGGGGATACCCCCGCGGGGGGGGGGGGGGGGGGGG